TGCAAGGTTGCCTTTAGGACTTGATGATTAAAGGTCTGGTAAATGGTCAGCCAACTAGGAGAGGTTGTTTGAGGTTTTAGAAATCAAGAAATGTGGTGTTTACCATTTAAAAGACATGAACGGCAAGCTTCACAACAGCTCCATCAATGGGAAGTTCTTAAAGACCTACAGACTAATGGTCTAGGAGGTCGTGGAACGTGATTAAGACCATTAAAGATGAGAGGTCAAGAACAGTGGCCTAAGGCAGGCTGATGGTCAATATGGCATTCAACATACTTTTCAATAGTTGTAAGGAATGCAACGACAAAATGAAAATAGAGGAATAATAATATAAGTTTTATTCATAGAATTCTATACAAGTTCAGTGAATATCAAAGGAGTAAAACGGAACATGGTCGTCCAATGCACGAAATCCAGATGTAGTATCTTCTTCCAACTTCTACAAGTGAGTGTTGTTTACCCATGTTGCCTTACCCCCAAGAGAAGGATCTACAAAATGACCCAAGAATGGAGGCGCAAAGAGACATTCATCTGAAGGAAGAATAAGAAGTAAGTTGGTATCCAACTACGAACATTGAGGGGAAAATACTAAGTAACAACTTTGGTCAAGATCGAAGGAGGAAAGAGGCTGAGGATTAACAAAGTCATCTTCCAACTTTCTCTATTCTGGGTTAGGATGTTCAGAGGAAACAATATTGTTGCATAGAAAAGGAGACATCCTTGGAAGAGTTTTGGTATGCTCTGAAATGCCCAGAACTTCATGAGTATTTATAGGCCATGAGGAATTTGAATATAGTAATGGCGTCACCTCAGAAATCGTCAACATTTATGACAGTTTAATGAGAGGAGAATAAAGCGTCGCTTCTAGGGCTAATAAAGTGCCTAAATGCATGCACGAAGATCAAAAGATGGGAACATGATTTAAATGGAAATAAATGACAGTTAATTCACAGTCATTTAAACCGCCACATGGGAAATGAAAACACAAATACAAGTAAAGAGGTAAGGGGAAAAACAATTCATCTTCATTCATATTTATCATTTTTCATGGAACAGTACAATATTGGAAAAGTTAGTTTCTAATTGGTACAGTGACCTATTAATGGCTTATAATTTAGAAGAAACTAAGGTAGAGGTCGAGCCTTCATCCAAATAAGCCGTGGCATTTTCTGTAGTGGCGGCCTTGATTTCTTCCAAACAATCTCGATAGGATGCAGATTCCTCCAATAGCACTGCACGGCGAGCCTCTAAATCGGCAATCTTGTCGTCTGTCTTTGCCAATTGTTTAGGAAATGAGTCAAAGTAGCTAAAGTGGTTGGAGCAAGTTTGTATATGTTTTTGCAAGTTGATGAGCCGTTCTTATTGATCATAGACAATAGTAAGGTAGTCTTGACTCTTATGATACAAAGGCCCTACTTCCTAAAGGATGGCCGAAAGTTCATCAGCTAAACGTGATAATACCTGAAGATCTTCTTCAATAATGAAAGGAGAGGCAGCCAGTGACCTGATTGAGTGAAGCTTTTCCTCAAGAAGATTCGCTTCATCTACCACCAGAATAGAAGGGTGGCCAGTGATGATCACAATGTGTCTCACAATGATTTTTGAAGTAAATTAGCCCTAATATTTTTAAGGGAGAAAAGTCCAAAGGAAAGGCAAGCTTTCAAAGAAGTTAGGACAAAAGACAAGTCAATTTCAGGTGGAAAAGTAGCAATCGAAGATGGATCAGTGATCTGAGTTGGGGTCGTGGCTTAGACAATCACAACGGCTAGAGGAATACGATGGCCTGCTAGGAGGTCAAAGGTTTCTTGCCTATAGGCGAGACCCTCTTCACCCTCAAGGTCTACAATCTCAACATCCTTAGCCACATCAGTGGCCATTTATCAAAAGAGGGTGCTGATAGCATTAAGTCAATTAAGGCCATAGAGATATGTACATTTGTTGGCCTGAAGGGCTCAAGGTTTCCAAAAATTGACTCTTGTGAGGGCTCTACACTAGCGGAAACAGACGCAAATGAAGAAATGTCGTTGCATTGGTGAACGTGGCGCACAAGGGGGGCATCATCCTCAACATCTTGTCCCTTGTCAACTTGAGTGTGTGATGCCGAAGGAGCTGTGGGAGAACATCGCCGCTCGTCCTTGCGGCGAGGCCTTGTTGGAGAAGAGGGAATAGTGGAGGAAGCCAAATCTGTAGAGGCCATGAAATCAAGGTCAACAACCCGAGTTTGAATAGGGGCAAAAAGGGAAGTCCTGACCAAGCCTACCCTAGGAGAGGATTGAACACGCGATGGGAAGTTTATATGGTTGAGTGCAGAGGTTGTGTCATTGTCAAATTGCCGAGAAACATATCACTTCCACCAAGCTTTAACAACCTTCAAGACATCAAATAACTCAATGAAAGAGGTCATGTGGAAGGAATGTCGAACAAGAGAGTTACGACGACTAACTTATCAAACATTAACATCGACCAAGTTAGGCCAATTGGCGAGCTCAGTGTAGAGAGTGCAGACAAAAGGATAAGGAATCTGCTGCACCAAGTCAAACTGGTGGGCGAATTGCAAAGGCATGTAAACCTCGACACTGCAGTGAGCGTTGGCACCATAAGTCGGCCCTAGGCGGTAATGTAAATCTCAGGGGTAGAGATAAGAGAACCAGGCATCTTCGTAAGTAAAATCAGTGTCAGCAGGAGCCTTCCCAGGTTTATAAAGGAACCATTCTAGCCCCCGATTTCATGCAAACTGATTAACCCTAAAAAGTGTGGTATTGAATTTGGGTTTATGGTTAATTATGTCCTTTAATTGATTTGAAGTGATTAATTTAGATTATATTATGACTAATGTCTGAAATATATGTCTTCTTGAGCCTATAAATAGGCATGTTTGGAGCATTTTGAGAGAGCCTGGGAAGACCTTTTGGAAGGCAAAGCCCTAGAGAGAAATTACCCTACCGTAAACACTTCTAAGCCAAATCTCTTTTTCTACATTTCTTTTTATTCCTTTTTATTTAGAAGGTTGAACCTCTCTCACTTTTCCACCCTAGTTTGGTAGTAAAAAGTGGGGTTGTTTCAACTATTCCTCGGGGAAGGATTGGTTACTTTTTCTTTTGTATTTTGAAGACATATACCTCACTTGGAAGGCTGGGATTTTCTTGCTCTTCTTGCTCGTCTATAGCAATGAAGTGTGAGTAGTTCATTTATACTTAATGGTTTTTTTTTTTTTTTTTTAGGGGCAAGGGGGAGAGGGAGGGGGACTTGAACCTTTGACCTCAAGAAGGCAAACCCTTTACAAGATAAGGAGTACCATTGAACCAAAGGTCATTTATACTCATTAGTGAAGGGTAAAGACGTGTAATATTGGTTGAGTAATGGAAATGCCGATATTTTATCTATGCTTTAATGTTTATACCTCCCTTAAATACTGGATGGTTTTCATTTATATTTGATATTGTATTGCTCATGGTTACAATTACCGAGGTAAACTTATTGTCATATACCATTTTATCTATAAGTTATTATGTATTTCATGCATGATACAATGATGCACGTAGTAGGAATTTATGTAATAGTCGGGAGATTAGTTATAGATGGGTTAAGTCTTGTCATAACCAATGCTTTTGATTCAATGCAAAAACCGAAATTCCATCTTCATTGAATCATAGAATAGCTATAGTAAACCTTTTGAATAGTTTACCTTCAGGTTTACCAGGGTTAATTGGTTGTTGCAAGATGCATAAACCTTCCGACTAATTTAATTGTTGTTGTGATATGGTTTATCTTATACATCAAACCTACCGATTAACTTTCTAATAACACGGGAGTTAATTATTGTAAGGTGACATTTTCATATTCTAGCAATAGAGTGCATGTTGGATCCCCGAACAAAAGAGTAGCTTTTTTTTTTATTTGTTGTAATCAAAGTTCAGTTTAAGTATTTATTTTTCAATTTTAAGTTCACATCACAAGCTATTCTAATGCACATTACACGCACGACAATTTCAACTTTTCTGTTTTGAGTCCCAACAAATAACCCTCTATGGATTCGACCTCAAACTTCACTAAGTAATATTAAACAACCTACAAAGAACTACTCTTTGGAAGGAGTCTTGGCAAATAAGAGAGGCCATAAGAAAAGGAGGTGTTGTCAACATGCTGGATGAAAAGTTCTGGAAAGTAGGCATAAAGACATAGTTGAACCTAGAGGGACTTAAGCCTCTATTCATCATACGTGTTTGGATCTTAAGTCTAATCAGACTTTCGATGATGATGCAAGAAGCAAAGGTAAATTTATATTATTTTTAAACAAAACATTAAAAAAAAAAATGATCATTCATAGTTTGACGAAAAACATGACCTTTGATAGAACTAAATGGAGCAATATATTTTATGTATCTGACCCCAAATAGTTGAGACAAAAACTTTATTGAGTTAAATTGAGAGACATTCCAACAAAATGATGGATCTAGATATGTGGGAGGGGAGAACCTAATTTCCATCGTAGAATAATTTTTGTTGAGATCTCACATTAAAAAAATTAGGGTAAAATTCAATTTACCCCCTTGTAGTTTGGGTGTTTAGCATATCACCCCTTCATGGTTTAAAAATCGGTAAGCACAAGGGGGTTATGTACTGATGTTTAAACCATAAAAAGGTGATGTGCAAAACACCCAAACCACAAGAGGGAAAACTGGATTTTACCCGAAAAAAACTTACCTCCCTTGTAAACTGGAATTTTTGACACCACCCAGCAGATAGAAGTATAGAACCACACACGGGGAAGAAGGAAAAACACTGCCAACAAACGAAAGTCCGGACTCGAAGCACCTGAGTTACACAAGGATAACTCACGTCATTCAGATGAGGAACCAAACCCCATTCATATTATGTCGATTAAAATAGCAAAACTGTTTAGTACAGCTGCTCTTATAGAAGAGCAAAGATCGGCAAATCTCTCCATTTCCACAAATCAAAGGACTAATTGTATACTTTCATGAAATCCAAAACATAAATCAGAGAAAACGTTGAAGAAAATCTTTGATCCGATCAATAAACGGTGACCGTGTAGGAATGATATGACCTAGGTCATGTTCAATGACCACAGAGCAGCCCTCTTCAAATGAAGCAGCAAGGTCTCTGCTGGCTTGATTTGCTATCTGCCTGTCTTTTCCCAGGTGGTTGCCAAAAATATGAAGCGATGGGCAGTTGATTGGTCTCGCGTCATACTCTGCTAAAATGAGAGCAAATCCAGAACACAAAATCACAAACCTGAAATCTATCTCACCCTTTAGCTTCTCTCTTTGGCCACAAATTGTAGCAGCCATTGCAGCCCCTTGTGAAAATCCCAAGATTCCATCAAATGGCCCAGCTTGAGAAAATACAGTTTTCAGGTATGCGAGTGATAGGTCTAATCCCTCAGTTTGCTGCTGGTACTGCAGAGAGTTAAATGGATCATCAGCCATTTTCCACTCACCATCACTTTTTTCATTGAAATTAGGTTCAACTAGCCATGCAAACTTTTTATTGCAACTCTTCGATGGTGGTGGACTTAGTTGTACTGAAGATGCAATACAATTGGTTGTTGGTTCTGACATGACGCGAGGTTGGTAAATGAAAGGTAACTCGTGGGGTGCATCGATAAAAATAAGCTCAGCAATGTTTTTGAGTTTCTTGGCGAAAGATGCAGTTCTTCCTTTGAAACCAGAAGCATTTTGCCTAAACCCATGTAAACATAAAATCCTTAGTTTCTTCAAAGTCCTGCTACCTGCGGCACAACATTCGTTAAAATGTCAGAGAAGAAAACTGGAAAGACAACTCATATTAAATCTTGTCTCAGAAAAGCTAATTAATTCTGGTTAAAAGATGTTGAAAGTAGGCTAAACAGGAACAATGAGAGAACACATTGAAAAAAATGTTACATGTAAACTTAAAAGTAGCAGGAGGATGAATCAGTTTCACCCACAAAAGTAACTTTACTAATGTCACCAAAATGAGGTAGATTACAGACCTTACCATTACCCCAAGGCAAAGGAGGAGACAGCACAACGTTATCTACGGTGGAAACAGCTTCAAGCTCAATCGGTGATGTGCTAATATCTGGAACTGAACTTTTACCATTTTTCCGGCAGAGCTCACAAACATAAAAAGAACCTTTCTCCTGCATGACCGCAAGTATATAAAATTAGAAGCAAGGGTTTCAAAAAAATGGAAAACACAGTTACATGTTACAACTGAAAACGAGTGGCATATGACAGTTAACAAATTGTTCGTCAAATTCTAACCAAAATGAATCTTCGCCTGACATTCAATGACCACTGATGACAGAAAAATTGGCCCAAGATGAAAAGTCCATTTAATACAAGTCCAGCACAAATTGTCGGGAGTTTTAATTTGAATAGGACTTTTCATATCATGGATGGGATAAATCCAACTATATAGATAACAACAAATCAGCATACAAAGATAAGAACCTAATCCTTATCTTTTTATGATCGACCCGATCTTCTATGCTTATCCCTTTGCAAATCAAATTGAATCAAATTGTCGGAACCCCTATAAATAGAGCTCCAATATATGCCCCAGGTATGAAACTCCTAGCTTCTAAAAAGTATTGAATACCTTTGAATCTCTTATTAACTTGGGCATCAGAGGATCGACTCTCGGAGCTCCCCTCCGGTCTCCAACTTCCTTTTAGTGATCAAAGCCTGACGAACTAACATGGAGGTCGGGCCAAATTTTGGCATCAATAGGCGACATCTGTGGGAAATCACTATATACATTTTCTGAAATATTTAATCCCTAGTTCTAGAGCTCTACCCAATCCTTAGAGCCACTCATGCATCTCCACATCTACTCAATTCATGGAGTACAGTAACATGATCCCTTTGCGAGATTCATACTGGTGTATTTCCGCTACTGAAGCTCACGACCTCGAGTTAAACACTCAAGCTAAAGAGCCATGTTCATAGGCTTTCTTCATTATTTTATTGAGACTACGGCCTATTAGTCAAGTGTTGAACAACTTGAATAACTAGTTCTGCACTCAGCTATAATTCTCTCTTGATTATGTACGAAATAATCAAAGAGCTCCTGCTATTACAACTTTCTTAATACTCAACATGAGATTGAGCAACTATGGGTGGCTCTCTCCCTCTCTGCAGACGTCCACGGCACAATATGCTATTGGGTCTTTAACTATAAGTACAAAGCATTCGCACGATGCAGGACCAAGGGCAGAATATCTTCCTACTGTGGAATAAAACACAATCTTTTCTCCACACGTACATGGTGGTCGGCCACTCTCGTCGCATCTGTCTCTCCATCGCCAACAATCAAACTGATGTGCTATTGCTATGAATTGGATTTCAGCACAATATTTCAGCCCAATAATCAACAGCATCAAAGGACTCAGAGGTAAGAATCGATCCAATTATGACTGATGTACCAAAGAGCTAGTTAATCTCACCAAGGCAGCGGTCATGCAAGCCGGTATTGGAGTCAATGGAGGCCTTATACATTATGCCAATCACCAATCACCTGTACAACTAGTTGGTGTCACTAGGACAAGGGCGACACCTTCAGAATACTTCCAAAAAACAAAGAGCTGGTTGGCACAACTAAATCATGTGTTGTAAGCGCATTACTTTCACCTTCGAGTGCTAGCTTATCGAAAGCTCTCACCAAGGTTACCTACGCCCTGCAAAGTCCATTAACTGTTTTATGAAACTATCTGCTGCCTTGGGCAAGTTATATGCTAACCAGAATGTGAAGCATTCACCATGAGCAGGCTAACGTATCTTAATGATGGGCACATAGAGTTAACTCGACCCTCAAAGCCAAAGCCAAATCCAATGCCCTTCCAAAGTTTGAAGGCTGAAATCCTTTGGGATGATCATAACCATTGGCTTCGTCTATAAAAATATGCACAAGCCATGGCATCTTGGTTATAGCTCCTCTGTCAATAAAGACGACTCCGCCACTAGCGAGAAAATTCCAAGGTTGAGGCTGGCGAAATCCTTCGCCCCACCATTTTACTCCGAGTATAATTTTCTTGTTGGGTGATTCATGTCAGTCAGGAGCTCACGTATCACTCTTTATGGATACTTATGCATAATAGAGTTCGGCATTCACAACAAACATGGGCAAGTGATCTGTTTCTCTGAAAACTGATGAGGGTAAATTTGGTAGAGCATGGGCTTGACCTATGCTGTACAGCCGGAGCAGCTCGGTAGCCCTCCAGCTCGCCCAAAAGCTCTGCTTGTCACTGTCATTTGTTCTTTAGCTGTCAGCCCAATAGTTAGCTTCAATAAAAGGCATCAGATCGGCCTACTCAAGGAAAAGCGTGTCAGGCCTCTTGATTGGTCTAAGAGTGCATCCCGAGAAATCTAAAAAGTAATGATGGCTATTTAGTTCAGCTCAACTAACTTAAAAACTGATCCATGCACTAAAAACTTGCTACTTGTATGCCCAACCTAACTCGGATTGAGCCAAGAAGGCTTATTATAAGTTCAAGGGACCAAACCTAGCTCGGATTGAGCCGAAAAGGCTCATTAGAAGCTCAAGGCACAATGCCCCGCTCGAATTGAGCCAAAAAGGCTCATTAAAAGCTCAAGGCACCTAGCCTAGCTCAGATTCAGTCAAAAAGGCTCATTAGAAGCTCAAGGCACCTAGCCTAACTAGGATTTAGCCAAAAAGGCTCATTTGAAGGCCAAGGCACCAAGTCTAGCTCAAATTGAGCCAAAAAGGCTCATTAGAAGCTCAAGGCACTTGACCTAGCTCGGATTGAGCCGAAAAGCCTTATTAGAAGATCAAGACACCAAGCCTAGCTCAGATTGAGCCAAAAAAGCTTATTAGAAGCTCAAGGCTCTGCGAGTTCGACGAAAATCTATACGAGGTAGGCCAAAAGTTCCACTACCTTGGCCAAAAGCTTGGTAGCTAGGCCAAAAGTTTCACAAGCTTGGTTAAAAGCTTCGCAAGCTCTACAGCTCACGGTTCTACTCATCTTGTTTATACCTCGAGCCAGCTCAGCTCGGAATGGTCAGGCCACCAAAGGTGGCACCTTCATCATAAGGTTAAGAATTGGAAGGCATCCCAAAATCATGGCACTTAGCTCACAAAGATGAGTGGGAGAGGCTTGAGACCTCTTAACTCACTGGCATAAGAACTAGCACTTTCTAGGCTTGTTGAGGGGATCAACTTGGTTCATTGTGGGGATCAACTCGTTGAACCACTGAAACACAGTTGACTAGATTGAAACTCAACGAAATACTCCTACTTGTGAGGTTGGTGACCTGGTAAGCTGAACCCCTCAACTAAGGCAAAAAACCAATTCACGGGAGGAAAGTTAAATAGGTTGAAAGCCTAACAATCTACCTCCAAAAACAAGCTATCAGAAGCCTAAAGCTCGCCTTCGCTAGGAATATTAAATTCCTAAAAACTCAACTCTTGAAATGAGATCTACCGTCAAAGACAAATGCCTAACAACTTAAAAATGGAGATCTAACGACAAAGATAGATAGATGCCTATCAGCTCGCTTTTAAAGCAGAGCTCTTAACACATTGGCATCAATATACAAGGCAATTGCGCATGTGCCACGCACGCTGAGCTGAACTGAGGGGCTAATGATGGAAATTTTGGCTCAAGGTGAAAAGTCCATATAGTCTAAATCCAACCCAACTTGTTAGGAGTTCTAATTTGAATAGGACTCTACATATCATGAATGGGATAAATTTAACTACATAGGTAACAACAAATAAGCATATAGAGATAAGGACCTAATTCTTATCTTTCTATGATTGACACAATCTTCAATCATTTTCCCTTCGTAAATCAAACTGCCAGAACTCCTGTAAATAGAGCTTCAATAAATGTCCCATCCCAGGTATGCAACTCCTAGCTTCTAAACAACATTGAATACCTTTGAGTCTCTTATTGACTTAGGCATGTAAGGGTCAACCCTCGAAACTCTCCTCTGGTCTCTAACTTCTTTTTCAGTTGATAGAAGCCCGATGAGTTGACGTGGAGGTCGCGCCAAATTTTGCTATCATCAACCACCATCATGAACATCCATTAGACTCAAGAAACATCTCTTCTAATAGGCTACAAATGCATCTAAGTCATTTTGTGAACCTACAACAAGGCAACTGACCCTAAAACCCCTTTTTGCTCTAAAGCATAAGGCCTGCAAGGAAAAAACCGATACAGCGGGTGTCTTTTACCCAAAGTAAGTGGCAATATTGGAAATCTAATATTTTAGCACTAAACATCATGCTTCCAAAATTTTAAATCCCTCTAGTTTCCAGTGTTAAATACAAATGGGAAGGATTAGCCACAGGAACACGATGTAGAATTCTCTAAAATGATTGTTGCATGGGCTACGGAGTGGATGCACCTGGGTGTCCGCTGCCAGTAAATTTTTTATTTTATTGAAGCATTAGGCATGAGCACCCTCACCCATCTCATGTCCCGTCAACAAAAGTTTTCATGGGTGAAGGAAAAGAGTGAAACTAACATAGGTTCAACCTCGTATATCTAGCTGCAAGCCTGCAAGTGAAGAATTAAAATAATAAGGTAACCAGATAAATGAAGGAATCCCAGTACACATACCTGACATATCTCACAGATTAACACAAGCATTCTACAATAAGTGCATCGGCTGCGTGAAGAATAATCATCAAACGAGGAGCTACAGAGAAGGCAAGTACCCAGGACAATTGCATCCGAGCTCCCGACTGAAACCCTACAACCGTAACACAATTTTAAGAATTGCCACTTCAGAAACATTACCTGAAACTTCGATATTCTTCTAAAGCATTATGCGAACATACAATCAGCAAAAAATAAAAAAGGAGATTTGGATTCCCAAAAGTATCAATATGATTTGTTATGTTATTGTTTCTTTCGTGATTATCAATAAACAAAAAAATGCTTTTGGTGGGCAACCAAGGGGAAATTTATTCATAGGAAAGGACACCAACTAGGTTAGTCCTTTTGGCTGATCTATGTTGGATAAAAGGGATGGGTGCAAAAATCTGTTAACTATGACATGTATATCCACATTTGAAACACATCAGTTATGGCATTAAGGAAGGACACTCATTTCTCTACATAGATGGAAGAAGAGAACTGAAACCATACCGATGGTCAAAAACGAAATTTTTTCCTTTGAAAAAACCACCATCCGGAAATTGTTCCAAATAACGCTGGATTCCACCAAATAACTGCAATAAAGGAAATCCTACAAGTTACTACCAAATATAATCATTAATTAGGAACTTAAATTACATGAAGGGCCATGTGAACAAGTTAAAGATATTAACAATCCTCATATGACCAAACAAATCAATTCAAGAAAAATAAATAGTGGAAGTTATCACTGGTCCCTGGTTTATGTACACGGCCAAAAAACGATCATATTAAGAAATCATATGAATGCCAAATAACAGACCATCCAAAAAAATGACTGTCTTGCACTTTTCAATAATGGCAGCTTAACTTCTCAGCACTATAGGAACTACAGTTTTACATTGATGAAACTTATAACATTTCAACTCTGAATTGACTTCTGAAGTGATAGGAGAACTAAGGAGTCATCTGCATGCATGAGGGAACTACAGCCTTGGACTCTCAATCTCAGTCAAACACTCCACAGTAATGGTAGGACCCTTTAACATTGCACCTAACTTACAAAACAGCACTTTCAACAGATGGCATACCAAGAGAGCAACCAATCTATGCGCATACAGACAAGTCATGCTCTAGACCACCCTTGGTAGTGTTGAATATGTCCTCAGGAATTAAAGTTATCTTACAACCTCACATGTGAGGGCAAACCAAGAGAGCAACCAATCCATGCACATACAGACAAGTCTTGCTCTAGACCACCCTTGGTAGTGTTGAATATAACCTCAGGAATTAAAGCTATCTTACAACCTCACATGCGAGTTGTGGAGGAATGGGAGAGGTACAGGAATCTGTCTTTAGAACCAGGAATAAGTGCAAATCTAAACACAGGTTAAGGGACCATGGGATCTGATACGTTTGAGGTATGTGTATGTGGGATCATACCTACAATCCATGCAACTCACAAAACAGATTAAGGAGTTTGTTCATTCAAATTGCTTCCGAAAGTGAAAAATAATTCTAGTTGGTGGATCATGGTAGTTAATGTTAATCGGATCAGTAATTGCAGAGGAACTCTGGTGTGCTGCTTTTTAAAGCAGAAAGTTGGAAGACACACAAACACACAGAGTTGCAATAATTTACTCATCATGAAATCCCTTTTTTAACTCAATTTAGGGGTACAAACCCATCTCTGTCCCAACTAATTTGGATGATTAAGACCAAAGACTTACAACAAAAATTATACTACCGTCCAAATCCATTTCTCCAATGCAACATACAAATAGCACGAACACGCCAAGAAATAAATATAGTGGCTTTTCTCTCACATGAGCTCACCTGAAACACATTCTCAAAACCAGCACCTTTTGCCCTAATATAGGCTGATGCCATCTCACACCTAATTCCTCCTGTGCAATACCTGTAACACAAACCAACAACAGCAGAATAAGAGCCAAGATGACTAATGCATGCATTATTAGCAAGAAGTGCAACTAAATCTCTCCCAATGCATTCTACCTACTTAGCACTAAATAGTCACGGATGAGGAAAAGAAGCAGCAATAGAAGTGTACGGAGGAGGAAGCTACTCCTTGGAAGAGCTTGGTATAAGCCAAAGAGAACAAATACTGTAATTGTAGTTCTGAGAGAAGTGCAATAGGATGGAACAGACCAGTTCTTGTTCACGTAAGCAACAAGAAATTGACAAAACAGAATCCCCTGGAAGGTTCATGATACAGAAGTACAGAAGATAATACATATACACATTATCGGACTCTATTGCAATAGCTTCCAATTACTGCACCACCTTCAAAAACTCAATTACATACATGGGTTAAAGCCAGCTACATCATATAGCATACCAGACGCTATTTACAAGTCAGAATATATTACAAACTTCAATCCATGGGAACATGACAGCAATTAGCTGGAACTAAAAAGAAATTACAAGATTATGCCACATATCTTAAAAAGCAGTAGTTGGATAACATTTCCGTCGTCATACTATTTCTAGCATGAACAATACACAAACGACAACATTACTTCTACGGCATGGACAGTGTTGAAGTATAGATACTTAAGTTACACAATTTCTAAAAGCTTGAGCTTTTAGATGAGATGGTTGCTTAAATTTCACCGCCAGCCAATTAATTAAAAGATTTTCAAGTGCTATGTCCAAAATCTATCCCGCACGTGAGGGGCGTATTGAAGTATTAATATTTAAGTTACTCAAAAGCTTAAGTTTTTAGATGAGATGGTTGTGTAACATATAATAAACAGAACTTACTCAAAAATAACTAATTCCAGGACTACTCACATAAGGACACAATTCCCTCGCAACTGCTCTGAGTTATTATCTATCCATGAGGCAAGATCACTATACTGTCGAATTTCTGGATTTAAAGTCTCCACATTTAGACTGTGGAACTTCCCAATTCTCGTCTCATACAAGTTCCTTGCATCCAATAGAACAAGTCTTGTATCAGAACTCGGACTCCCTCTTCCTTGAAGTTGTCCTGGTAAACATAACTAGAATCAGCAGATGAGCATTGAGCACCACAACTTACTATTTTCTCTCTTCAATTTTTTTGCCCATTTTGAGAGTGTAAATAGCCAAAATAACAAGAAAATATATACAGATTTCTCGGAGGAAATGATAAGATGATTTAAAGCCGAAACAAACAGACATATATTTTGCCTCTCAAATGGCAAGACTACCTAAAGTAGTTGTCTGTTTATTATATGAAGCTAAAAAAAAAACCTTCACGAGGCATAAGAAATAACAACCAGCATTCTGAAGAACAGAATGGAACTCATCCGCAGAAAGATGCCTTCCAGCACTTGAAATTTCTGGTGACTTCAACAGTGGACGAGAACATAAAGTAACCAACTCCTGAACACATCAAAGCTACAGTTTTAATACGAACAACAAATGCACTGAAAATTCTATTTCTTTTAAGAGATTAACATAATTGTAATCAAGACAAAAATTTATGTTAAACCTTGACGATGCGGATTGAGAGAGAATTAAATCCACATTCTTGGGCCAGCTTATCATTAGAGGGCTCATGGCAAGACGCGAGCTTGAAGTCAGTACCTTGGAATAAACTCTTCGATTTGACCGCAGCAATGTGCTTCTCCAACGACGGTAACTTCCCTCCAACCTAATCAAAAATCAGAAACCCCCATACAATGAATTCCAATTATAACTCTAAAAAGTGTAAATTCAAATCCACATACAAATACTATGACCTGGAAAGATAGAACTTACGGTGACATTGATGCCATGAGAGGAGAGGCGGACGCGGCCAAGAAGGCCGAGTGAGTTGCAGTTGGAGTCGTAGAAGGTAAAGAGCTCGTCGAGGTCAGGAATAGTGGCGTACTTGTAGTATAGTAAGACTCCGTATTGTTCATGATGTTCTTGTTCTTCGTTATGATGTGCCATAGCTGAGAATTTGAAGGCAGCTTCAATGTTCGTCGTCGTATTCACTGGGAAGAAGAACCAGAAAACCCTAATTTGGTGAGGGTGACAATGATTCTCTGCGGTGTAATTTTACGGTTCCACCATTAGAGATGGACTTTTTCGTATAACGACCGTACCTTTTTTATTTTATAACATTTCTTTTCTCTTTTTCCTTCGAAATACAGTTTAAATTTTTATTTGTTTTCCTATGTTATTAGAGTAATCATACTAATTATACTGATCAAATTTTATGGCCAAATTTAGAGTTTAAATGATATGACAGTTGATTTAAATTTTTTTATTTAATATCATATCATTTGGATCTCAATAAAAATTTTAAATAATATGTTGTCATGTTATTATTATTCACTTGCAATTTTTATGGGAGTCTTTTCTTTTCTTTTTTTAATAACTAAACTGTAGTCCTTTTTTTTTCTATAAAAAGAAAACACATAAAAATAAAATAAAAATCCAAACTGGTTTATTTATCAGTCGAGCCAAAGCTCAAACTCAATTTTAAAAATTATTTAAAACACTGGTGTGTGATTGCTTTAAGTATTAATAAAGAGGGATTAGAAAAAATAATATTAGACTCACCTTATCCATCTTACACCTATATTTGGATACACATTTTAAATCCGATATTTTTACCTAAATATAATATAGATAGATAGAATATGTAATATCACAAACAACCTCTTAAATAAATCCACAATTTTTGTGGGTTTAAATAATCCAATTGAAATATATTTTGTTAAAAGACATTTTTACTTTCAAGTATTTCTAGGATATAAATATCATTCTTTATCTTAAGGATCGGTTTAGTTAACAAGAAAAAGATGATGGAAAATGAAAGAGATAGAAAGTGAAGTTACAAAAAAAATTTTGTAATTGTCTAAATTATCCTTAATTATTTTAACTTAGTCTAAAGAAGAAAAAAAAATTTTTATTATTCAAATTTTAAAAAAAAATTGACCCTTAATCTAATTCAGAGACAAAAATTGACTCACACGCTGATCTCTAGTTAAATTATATGATTAGTCTAATTTGTATAAAAAATTTTAAAATTAATAACTAATTAAATATTTTTTTAAAAATAAAAGTACAATGGAAAGTTAGGTCAATGAACACAACTTTCTTATTTTTTTCTTGTGTTTTTTGCAAGAAAAAAAAAATTAGTCAAATGTGAGAAAATCTAAATATGAAAGAAAATTATTTTTTCTATCATTTTCTATTTCATGCTAAACAACCACATGTAAAATTTTAAAATTTTCTCTTTTATACATTTTCTCTTTTTTACATTTTCTAGTATTATCTTGCTAAACAAACAGACCTTAAAGGTTATTTAATAATTTAATATTTATATCATTATTCAATATTTCATCCGAACAAAGTATTAAATGGGATAAATGTGAGACTAACTACTTAATACTTAAACCAAACTAACTACTTAATACTTAAACCAAACATGAAATAAAAATGCATTATCACTATAATTGGTCTAAGGACCGAATAGATGGGTTAAAAAAAGGCAACATTATCTAATTTGGTTCTTCCTAATGCTTAAACCGAACACGCCCAATGAAGCATAATTATGAACACAAACTCAAATTTAGTTCATTTAATCATCTAAATCAAGTCTTGCTAAGCTCGAACTCGAATAATAATTGACAAATTTGAAGCTCATAGTGATCTCATACTGATCAAAACACTACTTTCTAAATACAGCGGGTGCAATCTATCTAAATATTGAAACAATAAGCAAGAATACAATGGAAAAAAGCCAATGAGACTGTTACATCATCACAGGTAATCCAGGGCTCTTAATATAGAATGAAAATACATGACTATAAGGTGAGAGATCCTGATTTCACATGAAAGCCAATCATAAAAACATTTTCCTTTGTAAAGTAGAAAATAAATATGAAGGAAAACACACATTAAAAGCCTTACACTCCTAATAAATTCCAAACACATTCAGCCTATGTGCCAGACCAAAAACCCTGACCCTTGGCAAGGAGAAAACTAACACCGAAGTCTTAAATATTCATTCAAACGAGTGAAGAGGCCAACAAAACAACAAAACAAACCCCTCAGATTTCTAACCAAATTTGAAGCCACCAGAAGGAAGGTTGGGCTGGCTATTTCCGAAGTTGAAACTTTGCGGATTGCCATCTGCACCGTCTGGAAGATTCTGTTCTTCATCCTCCTCTGCCCAGTATCTCTCCAAGATCTTCACAGCCTTCTCATAAATCTCATTGTTGTCATGGGTTTGGAGGTTCTCAATCTTGTCCAATCCTTCACATTCATCAATCGTTTGTGCATATAGATTGATTCCTCCATTCATACCCATTTCTTTGTCGGCCTCACCAACCTTCAAAATGTTCTCAAGTCCCTCCAGGCACACAGTTACAATCCTTGGGTCTGGACAGATTAGAAGATCACAAAGTGGCTTAATGCAACCTTGGCTTGCCAAGAATCTGCAAGGACACATACAATCTGTGAGTGCAACCTTTGGTCCAATGCATTGTTCTCCAACATATACAATGAAATCTTTTCGTGACGGTGCTGTAATCAAGACGTAAATATATGTTCTACAATGTTTTGTGAGCTTGAAGCAAGTAATGTGATTTATTTAACCACCCATGGCTAAAGAGAACCACCACACAGAAAAACATCTCGACAATCTACCATCAGGAATTGAAACATAAAAGCTGCTAACCTGCTCCTTTTAACAGCATACAACAAATACAATACGTTTATCACCGGCTATATGGGGGTACACTCAATATTTGACAGCTCCCTGGATACTTTGGATTTTAACCTTTGTTGAGCCATTACATGATCAATCTAGCTGATAATGTTGTGAAATTTAAAGTGGGAATATAGAAGAATAAAAGAGCGACAAGTAAAGAAGAGCTTCTGTGTGTGAATTTGTTCAAACACATAAAAATAAACAATGAAAAAGGTAACATATTTAATATACGACACAGAATAGGAAAGAACCATACCGGATCTGCTCAGGAGATCCTCCAGAGGTGGCATTTGAGATGGCCCATGCAGCCTCTTTCTTGATGTCAAATTCTGCTTGTTGAAGCAGCTGTACTAGAGGAGCGATAATATTGGCCTCGATGACTGCCTGTTCCATATAAATACAACAAAATATTATAGAACGAATAAGGTAGAACAAGCAGGCACCTGAGTAAGCATGGACTTGCATATCTATCTCTTACTCAAACAAAGCAAGCTATTACTTCTCTAATAATGTCATTAAGGGCTAAGGGGGAGTCTTTGGGTACATTAAGACATAATTCGACATCCTGCAATAAAGGTTGACCTAAGCTTGTGTGTTGGGGCTCGGCTCCCAAACATTACGTGAGCTGCCTCGAACAGCTCTTCCTAAGAACTTGAAGCCCCCCAGAGACAGTCTAACCTTATTCTTCCCCATCCAACAGTAACTGTTCTAATTTTTCCCTTATTCTCCTGCTAAAGCCAATTTCTCATCCATCAAATGATTCTTAACCACAGTCCAATGTGTCAATCTAAATTTCCTTTTTGGGTGTCTATCACTCGCAGACATTCTCTTAATTTCTGGTGTTCAGATACTAACCAATCTCACCATTTTAGCAAAGATTAAGACAAGCTGTTTCCAGGATTCCTGTCCATTTCAAAGAGAATTAGACGTGTGGTGTAGCTGAGGGAATTGGATGTCACTTCAGATGGTATTTCTGTAATGAAATGATCTAGTACTACAAAGAGGGCATATTGAAAATCTACAGAAACAGACATCAATTATACGGTGTACAGCTAAATTTGCTCTTTCTAGAATTCAGTGAATCGCAAATGGTAATGGGTCTGCTCACAGATTGGTAGGCTAATACCATGAATAGAAACAGCAAGAAGGCTTGGAGATGAGTCCGACATGCACGTCTGCCTGTGGATTTGGAAAGCAACGAATAAACATTTTTTGACAATAAGGAGCTTCCAATATTTACTTGATGTGTATTGTTTGGAAGAACAGCCATATTCTTGGAGTGGGTCAAATCAACAACTAGAATAAAACATTCTGTAATCTTTTTTCTTTTTATTTGAACCCCATTTCCACATGGGTTTTGCTCTTTCTTCTAATAAATACATCTCCCGTCCAAAAATAACTTTTTTAAAAGAAAGGCATGCTACGAATTAACAGATTACACTATGAAGAACAACGCCCATTCCCATCAATAAATCCAAGTTAGCCATTTTTGTAATATTGATGCTAATGAATAGAAGAAATGCAACCAAAAAAGAAATGTGATCTAGGAAGTGATTTTCCTAGTCAGTCATAGTCAACCAGATCAGTTTACCTTCATATAAAATAAACAAGTGGAGGGAGCCACGCATGGCATACCTGTATTTGACCTCTATTCCCAGCAGTGATATTTGAGATAGTCCAACAAGCTTCTTTCTTAATGCTTTTCTTGTGGTTTTGAGTGAGAAGTTGATAGAGACAAGGGAGGACTTGGTTGTCAATCACAAACTGAAACACATAAAATAAGTTATTATGCCACAGTAAAGGAAAAAGGACACATCTGTTGATTGAAAACACAAAAACACACACACAAGAGCGAGAGAGAGAATCTCCGGTCTCTCTCAAAATTAGAGTTTTAACAACACGTCAACATTTTTTTCATATCTCCCATATTAGTAACATAAATCTGTATTATGGTTTGGCACTTGCGCTATGAAATTATAGTTCCTGTCAAGTTATAAGAATGGGAATCCTTCCTGAAAAAATATAAGAATGGGAATCCCTCAAGTTATAGTTACCGCATGCACTGTATACATGAATGAAAGCATGCATGCATACATCTGTGGGTATACAAAAATAAGGTTAACAAAATTACAAAGTTGAGAAAACCATTTTTTCTCTTTATTTTGACAAGAAACAAACAAAGTTGAAGAACTTTAATCATTATCATTTAAAAGTCAGTTCATAATAATTAGGCAGCATCACCTCTTTCTGATGCTATGGGAGGTGACAATCATGTCGTGTTATTTACGGATTCGTGTCAAGTATTAGTCAATTATAACCCAAACTATTTAACTAATCATGTCCAGTTAACTTATTTATTTTCGTGTCGTATTCGTATTGACATATATAACTTGTGAATAAAAAATTTATGGTGCATTTGGTAACGTTTTTGTTTTTATGTTTTTTTTATAAAAAAAAATAAAAAATTTTTTTACTTTTTTTGTGATAAAAATTAAAAATATAAAACATATTTGATAATCATTTATATTTAAAAAATTATAAAAACAAAAAAAAAAATATGTTTGGTATTATACCAAAAATTCACTACCCAACACCACAACCAACCACCAGCCACCACCACAACCCCTTTCCAATACCCAACAACCCCTAAAATTCACCACCCTTCCCCCTTAAACAAACCACCACCGAAACCCACTCCCACCAGCACCACCCCTTGAAACCTAGCACCACCCAGCCCCAGCCCCATCCCAATTGGCTGAAACCCAGCACCACCCCAATCAGCTGAAACCCACAACCACCCAATCCACCCCCACCCCAGAACCCACAGCCACCCAACCCACCCCCACCCTCGAAACACCACCACCCAAACCCCCCACCACCACCCAACCCCACCACCACTCCCCAAAATCCATCATCACCACCAAAATAGAGAAGGTTGAGAGAGAGCGAGCGAAAGCGAGAGCGACAAAGGGAGAGGGGGGAGAGGGCATCTGGATCCTTCGTCTTCGTCTTCAACAAAGAGAGAGAGAGAGACGACAGAGATATAAGAGGTGAAAAAGAGAGATGACCTTTTATATACTCTACCAAAAATCTATATTTTGTTGCTAAGGAGGATCGAAGCCCAGACCTCATTAAATCCCTTTCACTATCGCGCTTTTGTTTTTTTTTTTTTGATGTTTTCAAAAACATTCTTTTGGATGTTTTCATATTTTAGCCTTGTTTTTAAAACAGAGCAATTAAAAAAAAAAAACTAACCAAACATGTTTTTCATTTTTTTTTTGGCCAGAAAATAAAAATAAAAAAAAAAAAACGAAAAAACAAAGAGTTACCAAACACTACCTTAAAGCTAAGATTTAAATCTAAGATTCCATTATAACTTAATCGAACTCATGCTCATATTCTTTGTAAAAACTAAAGTTTAACTTAATAAACATAATAATAAAAATGAGTAAAAATATTTTTTTTTGTACAAAAATTATGTCAATACTTAATAAACAATAAAAAAATTAGCATTTTACTCCTATAATACTAGTTAAATGTTCTAATTGTGTCTATTTATACTTAATACGGGTTCGTATCGAGAAGTTGTCAAATCCTAACCCGCTAATTTCATGTAAATTTCAAATTTCCGTGTCGTATCAAAAATTGCCACAAGAGTCCCAACAGGGTTGTCTATGGTTGTTCCAAGTACATGTATTGGTGTGAATTTTTTTCAACTCATCATGGTTAGGAAACACATAAGAAACAGGTAAGCATTGAGGCATGAAACAATGTGTCCAACTTATTGAGCATGGTATTGTATTGTAACTCATTGACTACATAAGAGATCGTGCAGCAATGATTTTTTCTTGATGTTATAACACCTAGTGTTACTATGAAACAAGTTAAAAGAGTTGCTCTCTTGGTAGTCAATTGAAAAATTGACTGTTAGATATTTTAAGCAAATGCAATGGTTTTGTTGACTAAGCCACCAATTACAAGCTACTTCATTGAAGCCATTCTTTTTGGGAGGCTTTCAAGAGAAAATTGCCATAGGATTTAAAGGCTGCTTGGTAGAAAATCATTATAATAATCACGTAGTAGCATAGATGAAAAAGCAATCTCTTGAGCCTATTCCAATGCAACTTTTGAGGGAAATTTTGGATTTTGTACTCTTCTCTTCTGATCGATGTCACTTGGATCCCCATGCCAACAATTCCTACTATGCACAAGAATGGTAACAACTCGTTTCATTCAGAGATCACTTTCACGCTCATTTCAGGATTTCTAGGAGTCATTTGATTTTAAGGAGCCACAGCGAGGCATAGTTTTCAAATCCTATACCCGAAAGCGTATCGTTTTTTAAAAATAGTGTATTGTAAGATACGGCGCAATTTTAAATAATGATTAATAAAATATATATACTTTTGTAAAAAAAATCATAGACTAATAAAAACATTACATTGCATTAATATTCTACCAACTATTCAAGTTACCAACATAGTTCACTAATTTTAAAATACAAAGTTCCCCTCATAGTTCACTAATTTAAACTTCTAACACCCAAGAGGCTTCTAATCCAAACTTTTAACATCCATTTAATGCATGGTTCAAGATCGCGGTACTGGTCATCAACTCAAAGAGCTCTGAGATAAATCTATCGCGACGTCGCAGTGCAGTATCAGGCAATACGATTTAGAAGAAAATGTTGAACATAACGAAAAATTCATGACATATGGCAATATCGTGGAACCGTATCGGTCAATTTGGTGACAATATTTCAACGACTCGGTTAAGTTGTGCGAGACTCTGGGTTTATACATATCATGTAACGATATCGTCTCCGAAAGTGCCGAGACGGATATGACTCGACCGACTCCTATCGGTCGATACTTTGAACCATGATTTAATGGTGTACTTACAGACTAATTTTTTTATTTTTGGCTTTGTTGCGGGCTAGGAAGCACGAATACTCATCCGAAAGTCGACGTGACAGTGTTGAACACGTGTCCGACATGGATACGCGTTGGACATGGCCGGACACGTGTCCGACACTTCCACAAGTGTCCTAAACATCGATCAAAGCATGTTTTGTGGACGCATACAAGATGATACGGGAGGGATACGACTACAGATCTTTGTTGAAGAAAAAAGGGACAGAAGACGTTACAGACCTGAGATTAGCCAGCCACAGATGTCTTCTTCCTTTACTTATACGACTCGCCACAGGCCTGAGATCAAACATGAGTATTTTGGAATTCTTCTTCTTGTTGCTTTTGGAGGTTTGATGTCAGCAGATCTCTCATAGATCAGCTTGGTGTAATCGACTCTCTCTCTGTGCGATTGGTGTGATCGGCTTGCCCTAGATGCTCGCAGCATCGTTCTCTCTTCTCTCTCTATGCGATTGGTGTGATTAGCTTGCCCTAGATGCTCCCAGCATCGTTCTCTCTTTCTCTTCAACATGGTGTTGTGGTGTCCACCGAACAATTAGACTTCTTATTAGTCTAGCCCAAAGCCCATTACGTTTAACCTCTAACTCATAACATTTACCTCACTTATTAAATTCAATATTATCTCATTTGTCTAATCATAAAATATTAATTAGTTCCACAATTTTATTATTAATGTTATTATATATATATATAATATTATATTATTTTAATTAGTCGTATACCCACCATACCCGTATCCTATATTTTAGAATTGTCATATTCCCATATCCGTATCGTATCGAACACGACACTCGTATCCGCATCCGTACTTTCTAAGTTGCTAGGCACAAAAAGCAATCACAGCGAGGCAGACCCAGTAAGAATGAAAAGGGAGAAATAGTCGCAGACCAGTCGAAGAAGCAATCGTAGACCAAAGGAAGTAGCAGTCGCAGACCCAGAGGAAGAAGAAGTAGCAATCGCAGAAGACAGTCGATGGTCTTCTCCTTTTAGCAGCTTCGAAGGATTCGCTAGGTTCGTCGATGAAGAAAAAAGAGAAGAGGGACTAGACTTCGTTAAAGAAGAATCAAGAGAAGAAAAGACATTTATTTTTTTGTAAACCCTAGTCATTGAAACAACGTCGTTTCAGTAGCCATAGGATTAAAAAATTAAAATTTTGGTTGAAAACAACGTCATTCCAGTTTAAAAAAAAAAAAACCAAAGACTTCGTATATCGTGCGTATTGACCGAGACATATCGTATCATAAGAAGCATATCGTGTATTGGACGATACTATACAAAACGATACAGAACTCCGATTCGTATCGTTTTCTCTGTGTATCGTGACGTATCATATGATACATATCGCGTATCGTACGATACTAATAACTATGTTGCGAGATACTATCTCTCTCTCTTAAGAAGGATTGATCATCCTTCCCCATTTTGAACTACTCTATTTCTTTGAACATAAATAATACAATGTCTGTCACAAAAAAAAGGAAAATTAAAGCAAAATAAAGACAAGGACCTTATATAAGGCAGGATATCTAAATTCTAAAGCCATTTCATATTACATGCAACATGTCCCCATAAACAACCTTATACCATATTTCACATTTCCAAGCACAAGCAAATAGCTCACCGGTAAAATATATTCCAAAGGAAACTTACATTGAAGTGGTAACAACATGCATCTGTTAGTTAAACCACATCACATTACTTTACACTGATCCAAATGAGGACTAAAAGTTTTGGATATTTCAGATGGATCATGATCAATTAATGATGATCACATAAAGCTAATTAATTTCCCAACTATTCAAAATGAAAGGAAAGAATGTCACGGAAGTGAGGGAATGGGGGAAAGGGTTTACACTTGCCCACAGGTGGTTGCGGGTTCAGACATGATCCCTTCACTTAACTCTAATCCAAATGGGGACTACAAGATTTGGATAGTTTAGATGGACCGCGACCAATCGATGATCACATAGAGTAAATTACCTACCCAACCTTTTAAAATGAAAGGAAAGAATGTCATAGAGGTGGGGGAGGGGTCCAATGGTAAGAGTTCACTCCCGCCTGCACGTTGTTGTGGGTTCAATCTTTATTTCCCTCTCCCCCCCCCCCCCCCCAAAAAAAAAAAAAAAATCTTTGGAAAACAAACAGAATGTCGTGGTTTATAGGTTACAGATCCAATGATTAGCTAGATGTCGAATTAGCTAGAAGTTTCAATGAATGTTGCCATATGATGCCATCACAATGAGAAGATCTATCCCATCATTTATTTCATTAAGCAATTCAAGGACTCAATATAAAACCGGGGGAAAAATTTTTACACTTCTCAGTCGAGCTGGAATCTGAATATTTTGTTAGGTGGTGATTTGCCTTTTTCTACAATTTTCTTAATAAATAATCAACAAGTTTTGCTTAAAATATTGGAAAACAATAATGGATCTACTAGGAAGCACAGTTACTACCACTGGGGTGCCATGACCATGTCGGACATGAACACGTGTTGGATGTGTCCAAGACGGCTATAAGTGTCCTAAATGGTGAATTTAGTCTGACACGGCCAGGATATGGCCAAGACACGACCAAGATTTTTTCTTTTAAAAAGAATGTTAACTATTAAGAGGGGTGTGATTTCTTTATTTTTTATTTGTATTTTTTGTTATGTAACTTATATACTATGAATGTTAATGAATGCAATGATGTTTCATGAAAATTGTGAATATTTATTTTTATCTATTTTAATATTAATCAAAAAATTAATATTTGCTAGGTTTTATTATTAATATTGTCATAAAATATACTTTGTTTTTAATATATTATAATTTAATTACTATATAAAACATATATTATATTATTTTTATTAGACGTATCCTTGTCGTAACCATGTCTTATATTTTCGAATTTTGTTGTATCCCTGTATCCATATCCGTGCTTCCTAGTATATCTAGTTCTTGCATCCAATTTTTCATGCCAACACCATGTGCAAGCATCTTATATGCTGATCCTAATTTTGCCCCCAAATAATATAGGAACCATTAAATGGTAATAATGATCTAGCAAACAGATGACAGTGCAACAATTGCTAAGGGGAACACAGGTAGATAATCAACCATCATAAATACCTGTGTCTGAGCATCATCACCGGTGACAATGTTTCCCACAGTCCTTAGCGCAGGTATAAGAACAGTTGGTGATGGATGACTTCAAGGAAAACAACTTATAGTTAGTACCAGAAACCTAAAAAATTTCACAATGATAAAACAGAGCAGAAGACAAACTCCATCCAAGAAAGGCAAATAGTTGCAAGAAGACTACTAATTAGAGAAACAAAGAGATGGACACAAGTCGAGGTCAAATCAAAAATTAAGTTGCTTATAGTGAAAGTTGGAACATACAGCAGAAGCTCCACAAGTCGAGGACAGACACCTGCCTCAATCACAGCTTGAATTTTGTCGTTTGGCCCATCAGAAAGATAAGAAAGGGCCCAACAAGCATCTGTTAGAACTTCTTCATCATTTAAGTGGATAAGTTGCCGCAGAACTGGCAATGCGGGTTTCACCTGACAGAAACCAGGAAAGGTAATGATTGATCAAACCAAATCAACCTACACCGCCTTAATGGAATCAGTAAGGGAGGCCTATAGCCATCTACATTCCGAACTACCTCATGTCCAAGGCTACTAGCAAATTTAAATTTAAACTTACGTCTCTCTACCTGCTCAAACGGCGTTGGTGGTTTTCCGCGACAGAAGTTAGATAAAGTCCATGTGGCATTTCTCAGCATAGATAGTTTTGATTGTTCATTTAACTGAGCCAGCAAAGGAATAAGTGCACCATAACCAAGAACAAGATCTCTACAACTTGGAGAGTCACCAGCAACATTACCCAATGCCCAGACTGCCTATTTAGGAGATAGGATGGCGAAGAATGCAATCATTAGTAGTGACAACAATTAGGAATACAACTTTAAGAGGGAGTAAAAAAGCGGGGTGCTGAATGCCTAAGAAAATATCAAAAGTGAGTTGCAATGGAAGTAAGACATTGCAAATTTTACATAATGCCTTAGAATCAGGAAACCTTACAGGAAATTTCCCAGAATTACAGCCTGCAAAAATCATCAAATACTGGCTTCCAAATCAAATGCTAAAGCTTTTCTATAACTAAATACACGGACTAAGCAGAGGCAAAGTTCCATAGGGCCACAAGGACCATCGCCCCCAGCTTTGGAAAAATTCCTTTTCTCATTCACAAAAGGACCTTTTCACAGTGACAAAGTTTTGACCACCCTTATTTTTACACTTATTCGCATATCTGTACAAATGTTAAAGGTTGTACAAATGTTCAAGGTTATGCTATCGCATACCCTCCTACAACATAGTCACACAGAAGTTCAAGCAGATAAGACAAAGTCCTTATCTAAAAATTGAAACAAACTTAAGTAAAATTGTATGTTTTTTATTGAATCTAAAATACTTGAAGATCTAACAGATATTTTTGTTATAAGAAGTGGTTTAATACATGAGTTATACGTTAAAGCATGCAAGTTCCTTGTACAGTCACGTTGCGCTCAAAAGGCTTCCAACAAAGGGAGAAAGAGTCCACCTGTTCACGGACATCATCACTGGCAGAGCTAAGAAGTTGCACAAACATAGGGACAGCGCCATGCTCAATGACAACTCGTGTATGTTCTGATGTCCCAGATGCCACATTTGTCAAAGCCCATGCTGCTTCAAACTGCCAATAAAGGCAAAAACAAGGTTGGACCTTTATCGCTTTCTTTATAAAACATAAAACATTTCAATGGCAAAAAGAAAAAACACAACTGGTCCATACTTGCAGTTGAGGTAGATCATGCCTGGAAAGGAACTCCACAAACCTAGGAACAACCCCTGCTTTGATCACCTCATCAATAGGAGGGCTCCGCTCTACACAACATGAAACCAAATGTCACTATTTTGAGCACATAGATTGGGATAGATAGATATATATATATATATATATATATATATATATTCATGCGCCGGAATTGCTCCCCATACCAATTGACAAGAGCTTTCTGAATTGAGTAGTTGCTTCAACTTGTGAAGCAGGATCATCAGACCATACTCCTTGAACCATCAAAGGAATACTTTCTAACTGTTAGACAACAGAAAGAAGTAGAATTGAACATAAACAAGCAAACAGATCTTATCAACAAGCATTGGATTATTTACAACTACATAAATATATTAAGTACAATACATATTGGGCTAAAAACTTGAAAGAAACAGGAAAAAAAGCTCAGAACATCATGCAACTAAAGACCCATCCAACTAATAGCATAAGTTGCAGATAACCTGACAAAATCTATGGAAGAAAATTTTCCAAGGGCAACAGCTAGACCTCTAAAAGACCTTGAATCTCTTTCATTTTTATCATAAATTCTCATTCATTTCTTCTCATGCAATGAATGTTAACTCCCACTTGTGAAGGTTACATTTATTTAGTGGCTAATAAACTAAGCACCAATGACTCGGGACACGAATACAGTACAACAAACAAAAATAAAAAAAGACAAGGAAAGGCACATCAGCAACTAAAATTATACGGTTAATCTGCTACTTGTGAATCCTATTCATTGTAGATCATTCATGTTGCATTGACAAATCATAGAAAAAATAGATAATTTTGAGGATCAAAAAAAATGTATAGACCTTCAGCTTAATTACTCTTAGCAACCATATTTCACTTCATATACAAGTAGTCAAGTGTCCAACATGGTATCCTACATGCATTAAAACAAAAGATTTTGTTTTTAAATAGACGTAAAATGGAGTATGGAATGTGTTCTGAAGTGTCCAAAACGCATCCGTATCAAACAAGTCTCCAACACAGACACAAGGCATAAAAGTATTACCTCCCAAACAGCAAAAAATCTAAAAGTCAAGTTATCAAACCTTTCCGATATTTTCTCACCAAAAACAATAATCTGCAACAAACTCATTAATCAACATCAGGACACTAAATGAACTAGTGGTACCCCATGCAAAAGCACGGCAAGTGACCAAACTAAGAAAC